AAGGGATGACTTTTTGAAATTTATGACAACAGCTAATTTGCAACCAAAAGGTGAGTGAGCGTAGCGAACGAACATCAACCTGGAGGCAAGTTAGCGTAGCGAACGAGCTAACCTGAAAACAAGTGAGCGCAGCGAACGAGCTCCAACCTGAAGGTGAGCGTAGCGAACGAACTTCAACCAGGACGTGATTGAGCCATGTGAATACTTATGAAGTTAAACGGGGCAAAGCCCATGGGTACAGCTAGTAACAAATAAAAACGTTGAAAAACTTTTTTTGTAAATTAACATACGATGATTTTAGTTGGGTTATCTTATTTTGATTTCAACGTAGTAAGGAAATATTCTGCTACAATAAAAAATACTTCGTATTGCACTTAAAATTATTAACAAAAATATATAGGTAGGCCTACATAAAAATAACAAGTCGGTATTTATAAACAGTTATCAATTATACTTGAGATGTGAAAGCAAATGAAATCCGCCGCCTTAACAAATATTTCTGATACGGTACTTTAATAAACTTGTGAAAAGCCAATACTGAAGAGTAGAAATGAGACACCACATTGGAAATCAATTGGAAAAAGCCATATTGGATGAAACCTAATTCTCTACCAATTTAGCAGTTGCGTCAATCAATTTGTGAAGAATGAAATATCTTGTTGAATTATAAGAAATATTTTAGTTTATTTTAGATTTGCCGATTAATTAGTAATTAGTAATGCTTTGGGTTTACAGTATGTATCAAACGATAGTAATAATTGTTAAAGATAATCTAAATTACATTTTGAAAGTTTTGCAACTATTTTGAATAAGCCTATTTCTGTACATTGATAAAACGTTTTGTAATAACTGTATGAGACAAATTGAATATTGTATCACGACTATGAATTGAACTTGAAATAACAAAATGAATATTTTGTTTTTTGTTTATTCAATGTTCAAACCAGTAATAAGAGGTTCCTCTATGTTTACCTAAATGCCATTTAATATAAATTATCTGCGCCAAGAAACAAAAACTCGCATGCACTTTTAAAACATGAATGAATGAATAAATTTGTCAAAAACCCTAAGTCAACGACTGTGTCAAATTTCAATCCATAAACTTGGAGGATTAAACTTTACTGCTTAAAAAACAAAGGAACAGTGTTTCTAAAATAGCTCCGAGTCGAGTCAACCGTCCAACACCGAAATAACACTTGCCGAGCTGACCTTCTATACTCTAACTCTACAGTTCTGTAGGATGGAAAATCTCAGAAGATATACGCAGTCTATAGTCAATGACTTTTATCTGAATGAACCTAATATAAGCATTTAATGCAAAAAAGAAAAACGAGCAGATGAACAAAATATACAAAAAAAATATGAATAAAGTAGTTTCTGACAATTTTCCTAATGCCACATTCTCTGAGATTTCAAATCGTAACTTGCTCTTAAAAGTTTTTGGCAGCAAAATAATAATTATTTTAAAAAGCAATTTAAAAATTATTAAATCATTCTTTGTTGTAATTTACTTCACTGTGAAATTGAAAACCTGGAAAAACTCATAAGAACGATAATTGGGGCGCAGAATCTTCACAGTGCTCACAATTAACCTTGAGGTTCTCAAGTTCAATCCTGTGGTCAATAATTATTAGACCTAGATGCCGTTTGTCATTGGCCATAAATTAACAACACAATCTAACAAAGATTGAATTAGATAACATCATCAGGTTTTAGACAGCTAAAAATGTACCGATGCGTAAAACAGACAAATTAAATTCATGCAAATTGCTGGTAAAATCAACAAGTAATTTTTATTGTAAAAATTAGGTATCCACAAGTAAAACTTTAAACAAGTTCACTTTAATCATCGATCTTTGTTGACGAAATAAATCGTTAGGAAGATCCCTCTCTGATATCATTAAACTGTGGTTTGTGGAGAATTGATTACTGGATGTCTAGAATTGATTATGCTTGAAAAAAACCTGAATAAATTAGAAGACTAGACGGCCTTGTAGACATTTCATTGGTCGATCCTGAATTAACATAGAGTTCAAAACTCGGATTAGTGACGTTGACTTAGGTAACTAAAGTAGTCATCCAGTTTGGACCAACTGTAGCTAGTTAGCGCAAAGAGAACATAGTTTGATGTGGCTCTCGTAGGAAGAAATACTTTTGAAATTATGATCTGTTAGGTTGTTGTATAATCAGTTGATAGAAAATCTTGAAAAATAGTACAGTTTACAAAAGTCCACCTTTTCAATTTGTGTGATTACAAGTTTGTCAGTTTTTTGGTTGACAGCAGCATACTCTGTCGTGATTGATTCAATGAGTACACTTTTTTTAGTACAACTTACATTAACTCTCAACGGTTAAGAAATAATTTTTTTGTTAAAAAGCTAGTCGCTAGGCCCTACATATTTGAACCAAATAAATTTTATCACTGATTTTTGTAGGAGGAATAGCGGTTGAAACAGCAATGCCAATGAAACGACATAGATTAATATTCCCTCGTTAGTAAACCAATATAAAATCTTCAAAGATTCGCTCAAAGTAAGAAATCTCAGAATTATTCTTACTTGGATTACAAGAAGATAACAAAGATTTTAAAACGCTTCTATGAACTATCCAATCATTAATTAAGCTAACTCGTCATCTGAATAAAGTCTGAGAGATACCACAAGAAATTATTTTGGATTAAGTTTTGTAAAAAACCCCTTTAACTATTAAAAAAACCTAGTTAAATTAGCTAGGAGAGTCCTATTTCATTGTTTATTTTATTCACTCAAAAATAGTTTGGAAGCTCGACAAGGGTTTTATTTTCTTAAAGAAGAAGCATATTGCATTATGTTAGCGGCTACTAATACAATTGCGTTGTCTAATTTAGAGTTAATGATTAGTTATATAGTTAAATATTGGATACAATAACCTTAAGAATATTCTGAGAGGCGTTGAGTATGGTGATTCACCCAAGAAAATTGCTTTAAGATGAATAATGATTATGTCAAAAAATCACAAAATGTAGGTTAACTTATTAGGTTATGTTGTATTAACTTATCTTGTAAAATAACAAATAAACTTTTTTAGCAGGTACCTAACTTAAGTAGCCTATAATTTTAGTTAAATTGAAATAAAATTTGTCTAAGCTCGACAAAATTACAAAAAATATTTAGGTTTACCGGTATTAAGATAGATATCTAACTCATCTTTTCGCAAATTAAACTTTAATATATAAAACTGTATCAAGTACCTATTGTCTTTTGAGACGATATCTACCATAAGATTTGTCCTAATTTTAGTAAGTGTCATTCCAATGAGCACTGTATGATTTTACTTCAATCCAAAGATCGTCCGTTTTACGATTTTTCAATCACAAATCTTAAGTTGGAAGGTTACATGATTTTACATTTACCAAACATTAAGCGGGAAATTTTTCCTGGCCTAAATTTACCAAAACAAGTGCTGAAATTATATTTCCAACTAAGTTAACTTATGCCCATCAAAAATTAAATTTCCTGTAACACTTAAAAGATATAACTTAACAATGGAAGTGGAAACAAGTTTAATCTCGAGTACCAAGGCAACAATTTAATACACATCAAGTTAAACAATTCACAGAGCTCGTTGAATGAGTCACTCTTGAATGATGCAAGGTTTAAATTTAGGCAAAGAACATTGTCTGATAACCCCTGAAGTAGATCTTGTTTATGATGTTGGCAGATAACCAAACTCTAGCCTATTGCATGATATTCTACACCTAAGATTTTAGCGCTAAAATTTCACTTCAGTAAATCATTGCACTACTTAGTTGTAAGATATTTAAGCCTTCTAAAAACAACTAGAAAAATTGTTGTTTAAGAACAGCTTTGTTAGAGCTAAGTTAAGTGCAGTATGAAATGAGAGCAAGGATTTAAATTGTTATATTTATTGTTTAAAAATGTAAATTAAGTTATTTTAGATATATGTTAGCTTACTGTACAGTCATTTAAGAGAAATATTAGGTTATGTTTAATTTATAAAATTGGAAAAGTCCATTGGTATGTAAGTAGGCCTAAAATGAATAAATAAATTTGATCAAGTAAATTTACTTTCATTAACTTAGTTGGCACATCAGTACATCTCCCTTCTTTATTTAACTTATAGGATTAACCTAAGCAAATATTTACATTTCATCAACAACTATTTTAAGCAGAAAATAAACTATGATAATAAATAAACTATTATTTTTAAAGCGATTAATTAGATACAGAAAAAGAATTGGTAGGAGTTCCATATCTCAATATCAGTTCAGTATTCTTAGAGCAGTCTAACCTATTAAGGTCCTAACTTAATGTTTCAAAGAGTCAAACAGTGACATTATACACCCATAAACTTAATATACGAGCAGACAATCCTAAGAATATCTATCCTAACTTAATAGCCTGATGAAAAACATTTAAGATGAATTAGCCTGGGATAAAAAGATAGCCTAAGTTAATTTAAGTTAACTAACTTAACTAATGGCCTAAGTTATTAACAAGAGCTATAATAAGTTATATGAAAATGCTACAAATTGTTATATAGGCCTAGGCCCTATGATAGTTTTGCTTTAAATTTATTTCACTATAGACCTATAAGACAAATAAAGGAGGAATAGAATATTTTATATTAGGAGACAGCCCTATTTATTGCATGATATATAGGGCCTACCTACTCCATAACCACATCAAAGTACTGTACTTAAACAGGTACATATCAAATTAGGCTAGGCCTAACTTGTATGGTACAGTTAACTTATTCAATCTTATAAATTTTAGTTTGAATATTATTTTTTGGGCTAAAGGAGTTCCTTCACTAAATTAAGTTAGTTTGAGAGATAAGATATTAAAATTAATCCTAACCCTAAAGAGCCTTGTCAATCCACCTCCACCATGTCACAATTATTGACAAACGATTTTGTTTGTTGAATTGGAGAACCATTAGCCAATAAAAGTTATTAACCATTACTCTATGCCTAATTTAAAAACTATATAAAAACTTACTTTATTGCCAAAGCAACTAAAGAAAAAGGGCAGGCCTGCTAAATATCATAGCATTGGTCACACATCACACAAAAACATATCACTTTTTGGTAAAAACATATTTTTTAAAAGCACCTAAAAATTGTTTAGGCAACAGTAAGATTTAATTTTTTCAAATTAAAAATATCAGTGGCTGAGCTCGGATAACACACGAACACAAACTGTAGGACCGTTGACACTTTTCTCACATAACAGAATTTAAAGGTTGACACATAACGAAATACACTTGATATCACTCGCGCACTCACAAATTATCACAACTCTCCATAGAATAACTGAGTTGTGATTGTGATGATGAGGAGCTCTGTTCCCACCGACCGCCGGAAGTTCGTAGTGGCAAACATGACAAGTATGTAAAGTATTGGAGGAATCGCGTTCGCATAGCTGGCATTCTAGCGCCTAAAATCTCTTAAACTCTTAAAAATACTGTATGAAAAGGATAATCAAGATGGTTTGTACTCACCAGAGAGAAAATAGAGCGCCTTCTCGGCGAGTTTGATGAAATTTAGGACGGTATTTGGTCCGTAAATATGAGGACTAAGTCTGATTTTGGTATGCCAAGAATGGCACAAAGAATCCAGACAACGCACAGGTCCACTGCGCACCCGAGACGCGCAGCCCAGTCGGCTTGGGTAGGAGAATGGGAGTGTACTCTGTGACGTCACATACAAGTTTGGTGGCGCGACGCGCGAGATTCAAACCTTCTTCCTACACATAACCTCACTATACTTTACTTTATTGACACACGCGTCCACATATATACATTATATTCAACGTAATAACTCACAATTTAACACTCACTTTGAACCAAGATAAACTTTGATGAACTCTGCACAGTTGAGGACACAACAAAAACTAAATAAACTTATCTTCAAATTATTATGTACAGTATTAATATAAACATCTATACATAGTAGTTTGGAAAGTTACAGTGGAAAGTAAAGTGGAAAATACACAAACGTATTTTAAACAAGTTTAGAAGCTAAATTAATGTTATCAGTAGGTCTAGCCATGTTTTGTTATGATTGAAGAAACTGAAGAAAGTGTACACAAAGAGTTCGCCTCCGTCGGTGGGAGGGGCTGGTGGTCTAGAAGTTCTAGAAACACTCACCTGTTTTTGAGCGCGCCACCTCCTAATATACAGGTAAAAGTGTCGGTAACAGCAGAAATGCAGGTTTCAATGAATAAAGCAGTATTTTTCTTTTGGAGGTCTTCAAATAAGAGAAAAAATGGCAATAGAGACATAATGAAAAGGCCGACATATTCAAATGTACATAGTAGGGGGGGGGGGGGTATTAGTAAGGAGGAAAATGACAATGATTGCTCTTTTCACTCTATAGGGGTTGAGGAGAGCATAACTACACATAAATCTCAATGTACATAGGGGTTTTCCACCAAGAATTAATGTGTGAAACTCTCTCACTAACGTATGGATTTGCACTGTACTTTAATCTCCTACTTTATTTCATAGCCTATTCAATTTGGGAACCGGAGTTTTGCCAACGGGTGTCAGGTAGATGGGGGGGATGCCTTCGGCCACCTCTTGGTGCGGAGATTTGCCAACGGTAGTGGTGGGAGAAAGAGTGTGACGGAGGGAGGGAGAGCGATTGTCAGGGTTGTCTACGCTTGGCAGTTATGCGCTTGTCGCAGTGGGTTAGGTTAGGTTAGGTTAGGTTAGGTTAGGTTAGGTTAGGTTAGGTTAGGTTAGGTTAGGTTAGGTTAGGTTAGGTTAAAAATTCAATACATTTCCTTTCACAGTCAGAGGTGCATAACTCCATTACTTTGAATACAGTCAGCATCCTGCCTGGTTTGTCTACCCCTAGCGGAAGCCACTCTCACGGTCACGTGTAATCGCTCTCGCTCAACCCACAACCGTTGGCAAAACTCAGCAGTATGTGGAATTCATGGATGGGGACCCTTTCTACCTGATACCCGTTGGCAAAACTCCTACACTCATTCAATTTAATTGTCAGATAAAAATTTGTTTTAATTTACCAGAGTAAAATTAATTAACACTATAACCATTCATTATCAGAAACAAACTACTGTACTTGAGAAAACTAATGTTAACGTTTTGCTGAATAAATATTACAAATCTGAAAATCACGTTATAAATCAAGTTAGGAAATATATATGATTTAAAGCAGTTAAAAAGTTTAGTTATATACATATATATATATATATATATATATATATTATAGTATATACATACAGTAGAACCATGTAGAACCTCAATAGCAAGACTCTCATGGGGGTAACAAAATAAGACTTGTGATAAATGTTTACTTCTCCTAGTGGTTTGCAAAATAAGGGGTAAAATAAATTCTAGGTCATTTGAAAATTACTCTTGTTATTGCGGTTCCACTGTAGCTTAATTTAAAATACAACTATAGGCCTAGTCAACACATGATAATAAACTCTAATATCTTAAACACACTTCCCTATATGAGTTTTGCATTGTTGGGATGGAGTAGGAATAGCGGAATTGAAACTGACACAGCCTTCTTGATATTCGAAATGCAATAAAGGTAAGAAAGTTGCAATCCCATGATTCCATGCAGAAATACCTCAAGATGGAGGCGTAGTTGAGATTACAACAAGTTATTGGATTCATAACATTCTTCTGCATCTCGATTCCACTCTGTTTATTTTCAATAGACTCCCTGTTTCCGTTTCCATATTATATCGCGTAATGTACCCCCTTTTCTTCCCTGCTCACACCTTATCGTTCTTTACTTTTACCTAATAAACTGTAGGTGGATTTAGGAGAAGGTGAATTTAAATACCCTCGCCGCAGCAAACCTGCAGACTAAGCGAATTTCCATATGTCTGATTGGATTTACACTAAAATGTCTACTTAAAAATTTAACATTTATTTCCTATAGAATTAGTTTAACAGGTACTTAGGTTTGCTGCATCAGCGAGGGTAAAACTGTTTTTTTTTTTTTTTATGTTAATAGTTAGTAAGAAATAAAAAATTTTCAAATTTGATCAAAGTATGTTCATAAACAAGCAAACTACAACAGTTTACTTATTCTCCACAATAATAACATGGGAATTTAAAATTTACATTTTTTTTAATTTTCTCCGTAACCATTAGGCGCATAGTAACACTTCAATATACTAAATTATTTGTTTTTTTAAGCACTACAAAATGGTTTGAAAATATTTTGCAAAATTTTATGTTTTTTGGGTAAAAAATGGGAAAAACCTATTTTTACCCCATAAAACCCCCGTTCCCATAGTCCGATCATGCTGGTTCGCGAATTATTTGTGGACTACTTTTTCAATGGTGTGCAAAAAACTCAGTTCTGGGGGGACACATAATATGAATAGAAGGTAGGTTGTAAATTTCAACACTGTAGTGTAAATTTAAACAGTAGAGAGGGTTGATAATTTTGTATATCTAGATAAACAAATTTATTAAGAAAACCTAATGTTACCCATCTTCTTTCACTATTATTTGTTTAAGCAAGATTCTCTGTCGATATTTTAATTCACTAAATTTCAAATTATAACCCTACCATCCTTATTTTTGAACGTAGATATGATGTCAAATTAATTTCAAACGCTAAGAAAAGCAGAGAGAAATTCAAAGGAAGCGAGAATACCTTCGCATCTTTAAGCAGAAAGGATTAAATTATCTTGTAACCTGTCATTGTGTTTTTCTTAAGCTCATTAAAATATACATTCTTTAAAATTAAGAGGAATTACATTGGTCCAAAGAGTTCAGAATTATTATACAAAGACAATTTAATTAAATACTAAAGTTCCTTTGTTATTTTGGGGAAATGCGATTCTCTTTATTAAGGAATATGAATACTATTTACTTAATAAGAACCAGTATTACTCTTATTTTTTGTATCATAAATGAAAAATTGATAAACGCCTTTATTTTAATTGGTTTAAAATGGGTTGTTGAAAAAAAATTTTTTATTAAACATTCTTAAGGTTTACGTTACGGTATTGATTGTATGATTTTATTGAGGTATGGTACTAAAGCAATAGGTAGTATAAAATAGTAAACTATGTAACCCTATTTGTGGACAACTCCCTCAATATATGGGCTAACAAAGTATTTTTTCTTTATACATTTTTTTTCGCAATTTACATATTTTTCATAAGACAATGGTCCAAAAACTTATCTGGATATCAAACCACCTTAGAATGAACACAGAGAAGTAAGGTACAAAGTAAACTTCCTTATGGGTCGACCGTACACTTTCAGGTCTAGTACCTATGTTGTGCAGAGCAAGAGCCCGAACGGCGAGCACTTTGAGGAGATTTCTATCGGACAGGGCACAGGGCCTTCCTTCACCATAAGCGTTGTAGTTGTGGTACATGATGACGAGGGGTTTGGTATTGGGGTTTGGTATTGGACTTTGCCCTGGACACCAGCGACTAGTGCTAGACACCAGTGACTAGTGCTAGACACCAGCGACTAGTGCTAAACACCAGCAACTAGTGCTAGACACCAGCGACTAGCGCTAGACACCAGCAACTAGCACTAGACACCAGCAACTAGTGCTAGACACCAGCGACTAGTGCTAGACACCACCATTGAATGTTTCCTCTGTACCTTACTTATCTGAGGAGTAACATTTAACAACTTTACAATTTAAAACACATTTTTATTTTTCAAACAATTAACTGTTTCTCCGATTGGTTCCTTGTTCACACGGGCATCTTCTTGAAGGACACACTGCAGGACACTTTATAGGTCTTTGAGATCCTGGTTGAACAGCACACCTAACCAGTCTGTATATCACAAAGAAGTAAAAGGCTAAGACCATTTCGAACATAATGTTGACTAAAACGTCCATCATTGTATATTGGTACCTCATTGTAAAAACTAGAACTAGAACTCAATTGGAGTGTTCAAATTAATCAAAAGATAATAACTTTTCACAAAAGATTTTTGGAACTTTTAATTTTATCCTTAGTTAACAATATTTTAATTTTTATTTACATGAGATTTTTCATTTGTTTGAAACAGCTGGTGTTAACTATTCCCCTACAGTATTTTAGGTACAGTCATTGGCTTTCCAAACCTGTAAGATCTAAAGCATATTTTGGTGTTTATATCCAAGTACATTTTGGTACACAATTTTGATTGATTGTTTTTCTCCTGTTTTTGGTAGTTTTTTTTAAATGCGCGAGCCTTAATAGAAATCAGCAAAGTTTTTGTTAAGCATTTACAAAACAGTAATAATTTTCTGCTTATGATGACTCAAACTTTCAAGATACTTCTTAAAAAAAAAATATAATACTTGAATTGTCGTGCTATTGTCACACTTTAGTTGGTTATGGATAATTAAACAATATATCGGTCCACATCAGTTTAGAAGATTATGTTTCGGTGTTTTGTACATCGTTATATACATTACAGTATTTTAAAGTATTGCTTAAATTGATTAATAAAACCTCGAAGAGTTCATAAGGCATATTATAAGTAGACATTGCATACCTTATAGGTTATATTATGGTTTGTTGTAGTAATCTGACCCTGTTCTCGTCCTGTAGTGTTGGATAATCTAAACTCAACTGTAATACTAGCATGATTTACGTCTAAAAAGGATCAGCATTCTTTCCAACCAGAGATAGCGGTACAAATAAAAAATTGATAAATTGCTTGGAATCGACAATAATGGAATTTGCATCATGAAAACCTATTTTAACCATTCTTGAGTATTAGGATGAAAAGGGAACATTTAAATAAATTTCCGAAACTTAGAAAATTTTATTTATTTTTTGAATACTACTAAAGATGTACACAATGTTTTACATTAATGATATCATTCTACCACTTTCAGTAAGTTAAACTATAAACTAAAATACCTGTTGGCTAGAGGAAGCGGGTTAGAATAAAAAACTGAAACAAACAAAAAGTTAGAAAATTGCAAGTAAAGAATGAAGTAGAAAGTCTGTGTGAAAAGAAAACAAAATTTTACTCTTTTTTATCATATTGTCCAAAAAAAAGGCTGTTTTTAGTTCTCATAATTGTCTGCAAAATCATCGTTTTCGGGTAACTTCAAATAGGTAACAGAAGAAACATATGGTAAATTTTACGCTTCGCTAATCTCAAAATTTTGTTATTTCACATTATAAATAATGTTAAATAACGTTATGAAAACGTTGATAATCGCACAATATTATAAGTTATGTTTGTAAAAAACTGAAATGTAAACATTAAAGACGACTTTGTATGACCTCAAATTATGTGGTTAAATTTTGTAACAATTAGAAGGTTATTTCCACAGTATGATGAAAATAATCGTTCATCACACAGGAGCAAAAATTTATTATTTTACCATTTTGTACACTTTTGGTAATCAAACACAAGTAAAAAAGATTGCATACAAAAAAACCACTTTCGCTCCTAGCGATGAAATATACTATTTTCATGATAAAAATTGCAAATTTATCGGTGTCCCACTATTTAGCTATGATACAGAGCTATTGCAAAAACTAGCAGTTGGACAAAAAAATTTTTATTTTCCAATGAACAGTGAGGCATATTTTAACTCGGAAATCCTTTACGACTCAATTCCAAAGATCTCAAAATTAATTATCTGGACGTTCTCCAACTTTAAGTTTTATTTACTGTTTTACCATAAAAAAATTAACTGCAATATAAATAGTAAAATGATTTTTCAAATATCTTTCTACTTTATTCTTTATTTTTATACAGAATTACTCCCCTCCTTATTTGCGCCTGGAACAGAAAAAGGTAATTATTTGAGAACTAAAACTAAATTGCATATCTTGTGCAGGTTGAATTGTGACAAAATTCACTAAAATAAAGCTTAATGATGTAAAATTACCTATTCGGTAATTAGTTATAGTGATTTTAAAACTAGGACAGTCTTGAGTTGAGATTTTGGCAGTTTAGTTTTAGTTTCTAATAAGTGAACAAATGAATATTCAAACCAATGGTTAAACAAATTATTTACACGTTGAGTGCTGACTACATCGATGCTCCTATCCGCCTACATAAATTTATGTAGTTGCGCAATCCCTACATTAGTTCAGTACGAGCTCGACCATTGCCGGGGAACGTTATAATCGTTGCTAGCCTGTAGCTTAGAATGTGAGCTTTATTTTGGTGTAGGTCGGTAATAAAATTTCCGGTAAAATCCCGTCTGACAATGCTTTTGTCCCGGTTTCGGGGATTTTCTCTCTTCAAGCCATATTACAAAGCCAATGACTACTGATCCAGGCAGTGCTGCTACCCTTTGGGTGTTTCAGGGAACTACGTTCAATCTCGGGGTAACGTAGTACAATCACCGCTGCTCTTTTGTTATTCGTCAAACTGAAATATTTTAATGCCAATTGCGTTCGCTGTTACGATTCCGTACCAGAGCCTCGCTGCCATTGGCCAGCGCCTTTTTGAATGCCTCCCGCACTCAACGTGTTAATCAATGGTTTTAACTGAAATACCAAGCACTCTTACGGCAAAGAAAATTTAACACAAAATCTAAACTGATAAGAAAAACTACTTATGTTTAAGAATTTCTCAAAACCTGTTTAAGAAAAAAACAGATCTTTTAAGTTTTCATTATAAAACAATGCAGCACAAAATATACAATACAAATAGATACAAATCAAACATTTCTTTCAGCTGACGTAGACCACTTGTTGACCTGTCCCAATGAGGAATCCAACTTGTTTTGTCCTGAAACAAAGCTTACTACAGTGGAACCTCGATAACAAGTAGCTTTTGATAGCAAGTGTCAGTTTAAAAAACCCTTGATATTTTACTACTCTTAATTACATGATATTGCAAACCTTGATAAGAAGCCAATGATTAGCAAATAACACTTGCGTTCAATATTGACTTGTTATCAAGGTTCTACTGTGATTTGATTAAATTAGCAAATATACATTAATCTAAGGACTTTAAATTGACCTAAAACTGGAGTTTATTGGCGATTTAAATGACATAAAAAATATTTTCAAATGTAAAAGAAATTATTTTGCATTCTTTTCCACGCATAAAATGTTGTTAGAATCATTAAAACTTTTATTTTTTTTTAACTCTTAGTTTGCAATCTTTTTGCCTCCTCGGACCAGTACCTAGAGTGATTTTTTTTTTGTTAGGTTAGGGGCATTTTTATGTTGATAAATAATAAAAAATCCAAAGAATACATGTAGGTAGTAAACATTTTATTATTATTGCTTTTAGTGAATTTCCCATATAGGGAATAAGCTATTTTATTATTTTTATTGTAATATTTTTATTGTTTACAGTAGGATAAAAGTGTATCACATTTGACACTCTGGGTCTAGGGAGGATCTTTAATAGCCCAATAACAAATAGCACGTTGCCTGGATCCCATCCTAGGAGTATATATAAGTATTTATTTCAATACAAATTTAGAGGGATTAACTTGTTAGCGATTAATATTTTATTTTAAAATTTGTCTTCAGCGAGTGGAGAGTTCAATTTTCCTTCAAACTGTAGTATAATTTGGTTTCAAAATCTAAAACATAACTCAAAATTAGTTTACATTGCACAACATCTGTATTGATTTGTATAAAATTGAAGTATTTTTAAGTCACTTGACCCAGTTAAGGGGTTAATGTTAAGGGGTTTATGCCTACTTAGTTTTTTCTTTTTAAGAAAGTTAAAAACCCTAAATCAAGCTTTATTTTTTTATTTAGGATAATTTAAAAAAATAAAAAGGCTTACATTTTAAAACAGGTATATAAAAAGTATCATCCTAAAATTAAAATAATTGGTTATTAATTAAAAACTAGTTGCTAGATAAATTATATCAAACAATTATTATTTTTATATCTTTAACTGTACAATTCCAATACCTCACAGCGGAGAAATATTTAGGCTTTACTGAATTTAGGCTTTTTCTAAAACCAGTTATGAAAGTCTTTTGAATGTTTTCCTTATTTGGTAGATCTATTTTGTACTTTATACAAGGATATTAATTTATCGGTATGAATAAGGTTACTGTATCAAAATAAATGAAGATTCACTTAACTCAGTTTGAGAACTAGATGAACCATGTACCTGAGACATAGCTCAAAAAATGTTTTTGAAGCACTAATCTGAAACGAAATTCCAATTTCATCGTTGTGTTATTGTGGCAGAAAATATCTATAAAATGTATAATAAATTCAGCAGTTACTGTCAGCATATCAGACCTATAACAAAGAATTGTATTAATTTGCAAAAATAATTGTTTACTTAAAACACCCGATAAATTTTCCAATTTAAGTAAACAATTATTTTCCCCGTATTCAACCACTTTCAAAATGAAAACAATTATATCTAGATTAAGGAGAGTGGAAAAATCAATTAAGGAAAATAAATTTATTTTAATCATTCCGAACACACAAAACACAAATACAAACGTTACAAAGTGGTGCAATACGGTATGTGTTGCAAAATTTTAATATATTATGATTCTTATTAAAATGTCAGTAAAATTTACAAAATATAAGACATCTAAGTTTTCGAGGGGTACAACGATTGTGAGAGTGCTATTCAGTCTTTTGATGACTTCTTGCTCAAATTAAGATGTAAAATATAAGACTATGGTTTCAAGGGGTACAAATATTGTGGGAGTACTAGTTGGGATTTAGTAGCCCCTTCGCCATGAGCGGTTGTTGCCTCGCCAATTCCTGCCACCTCGCCCTCTGCCTCGGTATCCGCCTCGCCGTACGTTCTGTGAAGGAGCTGTAACAAGAAAAACTTAATTACTCTATGGTCTACAGATTAAAAATTTGAAATATACAAGAAAATAATTGATATTAAATCTAGGTGTCAGTGAAATTTGACCTTTCGATAAACTAAAACATTATTCCTTTATTGGTTTATTTTATATTTTTAATATATATATTTTTTTGCTGTCTGGATGGGGTCAAGTCTGTTTTAATATGGGAAGGTTAAAGAGGGTTTATTTAATTTAAAACTGTAAAAAAAACTCCAGAAATAAGAACATAATTTTTCTTACATCAGCACAGTCTACAGCTAGAGGTGAAAATAAAAAAAATTGATTTTTTCCATTTATCTAATAGTTTTTTTAGCGAATTTCCCAATTTGAGGAATAAGCTATTACCATAGGTCTCATGGTAAGACCTGGACCCTGGACCTATTTATTTTTTCGTTTTGAGGTCCCCAGAGGCCAAAAACATCATCCGTTCAAATTAATATATAGGCTATATATGTCCGTTAGCATGAAAATTCAAGAAAAATGATCAGATTTTGATGAAATTTTGTACAAACCTACATTTATTTGAACGAGTTAGCAAACCATGTGATTGGAACTGGGTTTTATGGGATGAAAATTGGTTTTCTCATTTTTTTACCCTCAAAATAAAAATTTCCCAACTTCTCTCTAAAAAATTTTGAAGAGCTTAAAAAGACAAATAGGGTAATTAAGTAGCCTATATTGAAGTGTTTTTGTACAGTTTATCTGTTACGGAGAAAATAAAAAAAAATGTTAATTTTAAAATTCCCATGTTATTTTTAGAAGAAGTAGTTGTAGTTTGCTTGTTTGTGGATATATTTTGGCCAAATCTATTAATTTTATACTTAAGCTATTAATGTTTTACTAAAAACACACTTCCCTGTAGCAGCAAACATAGGAACTTGTTAAACCCAATATTACCGAGTTTGATTTAATTGAAAATAAAAACAGGTAAATGGAAATTCACTTAGTCTGCAGGTTTGCTGTGGCGGGGGTATTTTTACTTAGTCTGATAAATTATAGCCTATTAAGAAACATCCTCGAAAGCAAAATAATCAAATCACAAATCAAACATTTAATCAAAAAAATAAACAATAAATCCACAACATTGATAGAACATTAGTAACTTTATTTTACAAAAAACAAAAAAAAACACACTAGTCTTAAAATAAAATTAAATGAACTAATATTTCTTCAAAATATAAAAAAGGAAATGACCATCAAAACCACATTCACATACGGAAGTTCTTAAGTGAATAACCTGTAAATAAAATAAGATTGTTAAGTAAAAAATATAAAAATAATACACATTATAAATCAAGAATAAATAGGTATTGCACATAAAACTCAAGTAGACAAAAGGATTGGACTTTTAGTTTGGAAAAGGTGGTGATTTTCAAAGGCAAAAATGTTTGATTCAAACAATCATGAGCAGAAATTCTCGTAGAAAGCAATAATGGATTACATTTTGTTAAGCTTTTGCTAACACATATTTTCATAATGTTGGATTGCCACAGCTCCAGGACTAGATCGATTTAACGAGGTTGTAAAATAATTTACTTTACAAAACCAACAAACTTGACTCACTGTAACTGGAGACGTTCTTGCTGTATTTGCCGCTGGGAGGCTGGTAAAGTTCCCTCGGCCTAGAGTCCGTCCTGCTGTGTTTGTTGTCGCCTTCTTCAAACGTGATGGGAGTGTGTCTCTTCTGTCCGACCGTCACTGTGTTGGCACCACCTTTACTCTGCAAAAGAGAATCAATTCTTACAAATTCATACTTCACTGTCTGAATTTATTCACCTTCCTTGCAAGTTGGAGGAATGATTGAACATCCCCGAGCGGAGAAGTCCACCAAGAAAGCCAAGATTGAGATGGCCGGACCAGGTCAGAAGAGGCACTAGAATGAGAAATCTGGAAGAAGTGTGTTGGCGAGGAAAAGTACCACCTTAGGTACCTACCAAGAACCACGACAGTAAAGTTTTGGTTTACGGATTTAAAATTTATATTTTTGACCATCACTAGTTCTAAAATCCTTAACATTCTCTTTCATTAGTTACATCCACACAACAAAAGTGGAGATGGGCCTTATTTAACGTAATATGATAAGTAGTATCATTACTAAAAATGTTGCTTAATATCTTGGTAATAGGTTACTGAGAATACCCTGTTATTTCTGTTTAGAACGTCGCCTGATCTGTTTGAACCGCTGATCATCAGAATAATAGGGTGTAAAAAAACCCTGGATTAGAATGAACAGTTTAAAGGTGCTGAGGAAATAGAAACAAAATTAATCTAGTAATTTCAATTTCACCTACTACCTAAAAGCTAGAACGTTTCTGTCAATTATTACAGAGTAACAATGTTTTTTAACCCAAAAAAACAGTTCAGTTCAACTTACAACTGAATGCAGGGGTTTCCAAGATAAGCTGACATTGCTCTTGAAACTCGGCGGAGAGTGAAACAAATCTTTGATCAAAGTGTTGATGTTGGTAGTCATCTTCAGAGCGATCACTCTCATCTTGTTTTCTTCCGATTTCAACTCTTCGGCTGTCTTTCCGTGGAGGGCTTCCTTCAGTTTTTTTATATATCCTTGGATTCCTCGGGCAAAATATTGTAGCCTGTAAAAGTTATAGTTTTTTACAACACAGCCTTATGATATTTACCATACAGTTCACTTCGTAGAGTTGGAAGTTCATTTTTGGCGAGAAGTTTCTGCGTAAAACAAAACTTTTACTAAACAAAGATTAAGGATATGGTAACGATATCAGCGTGATCAGAGAATATGTTAAAGATTTTGCAGAGATCAATGGAAATAGTCACCAACTGAAACAAAACCATCCCTCGACCTAACTCCATCATATTTTTAAATAGTAAAATATTTCTCTTTCTTATTACTTTTTTGTCAGTACTTTAATTCAATTTGTTTAAATTTATAAAATTATTTTTAATGGATAGGCTTTTGATAAATAATCCCTGGCTTGACAAATAAATCTTGAATGGGGAGCAAAATTTGAGGTTTCGTTCATTGCAGCCTATTAATTAATAGAAATAGTTCAGCTAAAAGGCACAAAAAACCAACTAGCAATCATTACAATCACTCTCTATAGTTTATTTCTGCTTGCCTACACCACAGTACTTTTTGAAAAGTTCTTCAAGAGCTTGGCACATTTTGCCCCGCTTAAACCCTGCACAACTAGCACAATCTTAACACTTACCTTAGCCGGAAGTCTTTCAGTTTCTCAGGGTCTTTAGTAATGATGTCGGGGCAGTGTCGAGCCAGCCTGTGTAGAGAATACATGAGACACTCTACGTACGAGTACTCTAGGTTAGGCTCTGGTATGTCGTCTGTGGCGGGGGGCAGTGGCATGTACTCCTGTCAACCACAATCATTAATCATAAACAACTCAGGAAGGACAAGAATTTGATCTTCAATGGAAGAGGTGGACTGATACTTTTTTTCTGATCAAGATGACTTGGGCTGAAACTGTTATCTTTGGAGGTCTGAAACTCTTTCTTATCAAGGTGAGATGGGCCGAAACTGTTATCTTATCAGGAAGGGGGTCTGAAACTCGTTATCCTATTAAGATGAGTTGGACTGAAAATGTTATCTTATCAGGAAGGGAGGTCTGAAACTCTTTGTCTTATCAAGATGAGTGGGACTGATACTGTTATCAGGAAAAGGATAGCTGAAACTTTTCATCTTATTGAGAAAGGAAGACTGAAACTCTTACCTTATCTGGGAGGAAGAGCTAAAAATCAAAACTTCCCGCACATGAAAAGAAAGTATTATTTTATCTGAAAAAGGGCAAGACTGCTTTAATAAATGGGCTAGGTAGGCCCTGGCAACGGGGCGCAATAGATTTTATTTTTGCTGGGGGTGCAAGGACAAGAAAAATTCTTCCACAATGTAGGTGGAGAGGGGCGCTATTATCTCCCGGGACAAGTGCTTGACTTGCAAACCTCATTCCTGGAAATGGGCCAAGCTTTTTTGAGTTGAATTTTTTTTCTGAAAAGGTAGTTTTAGTAAGCATATTTATTTACTTGAAATTGGACATACAAAATGAAAATTTAAAATAAAAAACCAAAGAGAATTTCTGAAATGTAAATTAAGGTAGCCTATTTGAAATTTGTTTTTCATTTCAACAATAGCAGTTTCTATGACAAAATGCTGAAAAAAGGTATTTTCTAAAGATTATTTGATTATCTATTTATTGGGGACCTTATAATTTAGGGGTTTTGGAAGTTTCTTAAGCATTTATACAATAATTATAAAAGTCTATAAAAGGTATCTAAATATATAAAAGACAAAGCCCTCACTGACTGACTGACTGACTGACTCACTCACTCACTCATCACTAATTCTCCCACTTCCCATTTACCTAGGAGGCTGAAATTCGGTACACCGATTCTTTGGGCATTAAATAGGAAAACTAAGTAGGCCTAGTTTTTATTCTGATCGGGCTTTCGGACTCTGCCCCCAGTGGCTTCCCCCTCCAGTGGAGTTTCCCATGTTAACCTTATGAGTACTCATATTTAAATGGAATTAATGAATCTTAACAGATGTTTCAATTAAACAAGTTGGTTCTGTTCTATGATGTTCAATAGCATTAAAGTTACAAGGATCACCAACAGGGTGCAGCACTATTATTTTTTTTAAATATATGACAACAGCTAATTTGCAACCAAAAGGTGAGTGAGCGTAGCAAACGAACTTCAACCTGGAGGTGAGTTAGCGTAGCGAACGAGCAAACCTGAAGGCATGTGAGCGCAGCGAACGAGCTCCAACCCAAAGGTGAGTGAGCGTAGCGAACAAACTTCAACCAGGACGTGATTGAGCCATTGGAACAAGCTCACTTATGAAGTTAAACGGGGCGAAGCCCGCGGGTACAGCTAGTCTTTCTATGTAGGCATGTTATCATTTTCAGATTAGAATGAGAATTCATTAGGTTCATATGGAAATTGTGAAGAAACCTGTACCATACATATTTGTTATTTAAATGTTTATGAACATCAGCCATTAATGATATCACAGTAGTTACAGCATCTCTGAACTAATTACCACTGTAAAACTCATCTGGAATCTATCACCAGTCACGTATAAACCTTCTAACCTTTATGCTGTATTAATGTCTGCCAATCTTTAATTATTAATTTAGTTACAATAAGTGTTTACTGTACATATTGTACAGAAACTATAGGCCCTATTCTTATGTGAAAAAGGAAAATTAAAACCCGAGTCTCGTCTGGAAGGTGGACTGAATTTCTTATGTCATATGGGGAAGAAGATTGAAACTAATGTTTTATGTGGAATGGGCAGCCTATTATCGTGTTTTGTACTTACAATAAGTTTTTTCAAGACCGTGGTTGTATGAGTCTCTGGGTTGGAGATTGTGTTGCAATGACTACAGAACTCGGCCAGCAATTTGAAGATTTCCGAATGATTCGCCGAGTTCTCGTCTGAGGCTGATATGACGGGCATTGTGGGAAGGACCTGCTCACAAAGATACTCGACAAACTTCTGTGAATCTACCTGGGCCTGTGGAGGAAAACATGAACCAATATTAGTGTTACCTAACAAAAACAGTACTTCAAAGATAAAATATAAAAAGTTTACAAGATTTTAAAGTTTCAACATTCAATGTTTGGTCGATTCATTTTTTGAAATTTCACATCATTATCAGGGTTGTGAGGGAAAGAAAATATTTAATCACTTTATGAAACACCCACAACCCTACTTTATAATTTTAAATATTACAGCGTATGAGTAGCCTATGTGTTACAAACTACTGTGCCACTTACAAATAAAACAAAACCAGTCAAAGTCAATAATAAAAAATCTCATGGGAAGGAAATAAAAAAAATGTTATAAGGGTAACTCTCCAACAATTAACTCTCCAGCTATTAACTGTAAACATCCTCTACATCTATACAATTTTCATGTACACACATATCCAAAACATCTCAAGAAATAAAGATTTCCACTGCTATCCACCAGAAAAGCTACTGACATAGGTCTTTCAGTCCAGAAAAAAAAACCTCTACGTTGGACAAAAAATCATAAATGTATTAAATCAACCTCAAGATAAAACAGAAACAAAATGAAACATCAAATCAATGTCAGGCTAGTAGAACAACCCATTTACTCAACCTATATTTTGTGACACCATTGTATTTTTTTTACAAATCAAAAATAAGGACAATCATCTGCAAAATATATTTGCTTACCGAGAAGAAGGGCAAAGCTCGTTTGAGTCCATGGAGCAGTTTGTCGACCTGCTCCTCGTCTGCGGGGTTGTAAGGTTGTGATAGTTCTACTTGCTCCGCTACAATCTCCACCAACTCCCGCTGTCCTACGACCGACTTGGCGAGGTGAGTCAGTCCCAGCAGATCCATCACCATGTCAAACTCATCAGCGGTGTTGTCCTGCAGACAGACACCAAAGACTTGCCAATTGGAATGCAACTCGTTAACACGCTTTAAGGATTGGGCAGAAACAGAGTAAACAGATCGCCAAAATATCTATGATTATATACTGTAATTGAGTTTTTGCTATATGGCCTTAGAAGCAAGGATCTATTTAGAATCTGAGGCCCCCGACGGCACTCACCAGAGAGGCCCCTCTTTATATTCTGATACTTCGAAGGTTGGAACTTAAGGGTTTAGAAATACACTTGCTTCAACTCAATGAAATTACCTTTTGTTTCCAACAATCTGATTGAAAAAAGACCTAGGAGACTAGCTGAAAAAAATCTAACAATTTCTTACGTCAGCACTGACACGTAATCTTAATCTCCTCCGATCACGTCGGAATCATGAACGACTCATGTGGCCGCGGAGAAATTGTGAACATCTCCAACGGCTTTGTGGACATCATCATTGTCTCCCGCGGTTTCGAAAACGTGATCGTTGTCAGGGTGTCCACCAGGCCGACCAGAACAAATTCATGAGTAAAAAAAAATCCAAGTAGTTCAGTTCATACTTTTCATCCTAAAACTTCCAACGTGTTTTGCGCTAACTTTCGCAATGCTGTTTTAGCGCTAACACAGCTCGCTATTTAAGTTATCGGAAAGAGCATTCTCAGTTAATGAAATAAAATGTATGATTACTAGGGGTGTGCGATGCATCGAAAATGCATCGAAATTTCGATTCGATTCGATTCGATGCATCGAATCGCGATTCGATTCAGTGGTGGTCAAAAAACGATTCGATTCACGAGGGAGTCAGTATCCATATACGAAAAACGCCTGCAGAAAGTCAATGCAATACCCGCAATACAGGAGCGCGTTGCTGTTGCGTTTCCTTTACGAAGGCGTTCTTATTTAATACATTCTTTGCATTAAATATAGCTTTAATTGTTTTATATTTTTTTGTTTTGACATTGCAAATGATTAGAGGTTTGTTTTTGTCTTGATGTAAGCAGTGTGTGAAATATTTTACTACTGTGAACCTAGCCAAAACAAGGTAGGTTACTCCAAAATCATTTTAAAAATAAGTCTTAAAAATTGTTACTTAATACTTAACTAGTAAGATTAATGTTATAGACTGATTCATTTGGTATTTTTGTAGGTCCCCGTCCCCGAATTTTTGTTGGGGCAAAAGAAAAAAAAAGAATAATTTATTTCCAAAGAAACACTCTTATATTATTATATCTATTATTACAGAGGAATTAAAATGTTCAAATGAGAATTAAAAATTAAGTTGGCTCACGACCTTTAAGAATAAAGACACAACAGAGCAATTGCCGCACTGCCACTAGCCAGAGCCAGGTCTAGTCGTCTACTGATAAGAGTAACAAGACAAAAGCCGTGACGCAACACTAACAGTGCAAAGAAAACAAAGTCAAAAGAATAGAAAGACTATTTATCCAGACATACTAGTATAATCATTTATTGTTTATTCAATACCTAATTAAAAATATCTATAATATTAAAACGAAACAGTGTTTTTTTACTTCACGATTCTGAATCAACCACTCGACAGATTTTCATGATTTTTGTGTTGAAAGAAAGATAATTTTGAGAACTAGGGAATGTCGAAGCCACAATTTTAGTTTAGGGTCCCAGTTTTTTAGAAGTTAAGTTTTAATTTTTTTAAAGTCTAGCAGCCGACGCTAAGATTCTAAACTAGCTTTGGGCATAAAATAATTTGCTTAACATAACAGCTGTAAACATTCAGCTTTTGTGTCACAAATTCAGCATTTTGATAATAATGGCATACACAGGGTTGACTTATTAATACTATATGTAATGCTATACTCATTGATCCGTTCATTTAATCGGCAAGAGGATGAAAGATTATTTAAATAAACATGGTAAAATGCTGGATGTTCTAATTTATTTTTTAGGGCAGTCTTAAAAAATTAAGTTTGTTTTAGTGCAACATATTTTGTTTTAACTAACAGCTGGTTGAATACAAAAATATTCTATAGAACTATCAGGTTAGTTTATTATTCTGTGATTTTGCCATTAATTATAGGAAATAAATAGGATTCTATAACCACTGATGTATACAAATTGAGATGCCCCGGAGTCTTCAGAGAAAAGTTTATACAATTATTTTTCTGTTCAACCTTTTGAAGAGAGAATAGGAAAATATCAATGTTTACATGTTTTAAAATTATTCTTGACAGCTTTTTGTTTACAATAAATGTTTAACCGCTTAAACTCTGCTTGAATTAGAAATGGAAATATTGACATAACTTCAGTTTTAGTTGACTACTCAATTCCCGTAACATAATAAATTATAAACAAAAGAAATATCTGATATAGTGAACAGATCTGTATCTTGGTTAGATGGGGTTAAAAAAATATATTTCTAAGATCCAATACAATATTTAACTTACAACTCACAAATTACATTGAATTAATTTCTTTGAAAATAATCTCTAACAGTTTTGTGTTTTTGAATAAAGAAATATATTTCTTTGTCTCTACTCCCTTGTTTCATCACTTGCATTTTGTCAGCAATTGAAGCAACTGGGTAGCAACCGGGTGGTGTAAGAGGGGAGGGGGAGGGTCTATGACCTTGAATTCACACATCGTTGCCCGGGCCTGGCTGGTGAGACTGATTCATTGTTTTTGTTGACATACTACTACCCTTCCTTAAGAGAAAAAGGCCCTGCTGTTCCAAAAACATTGAGGGTAGTTTAAAAACATTGACCTGTGTTGCCAAGGGCACTAGGCTAGAAGATAGCATTTAACTTTCTTGTCTCTTGATTTAATATTATTTTAATCTTCTATATATTATTTAAGAGTTACTTTTCGGGTACCTAATTAGTTGTGATATTGACGATATTGTTTGGCTTTATTTTATGGATTTTTAATTCTTTTCATTCATTAGCTATCAAAATCAGTTGTTTTAGGATTTTAATCTCTTGCAGTAGGTCTATACTACTGTATGACATGATATGCATTTTTTAGTCCTTATTAATTATACCATAAACAATGTTTGTATGTTATTTACTGTTTTTGAGTTTTATAGGAAATTAGTTTACACAATATCTTTTCTTCAATGAGTTCTCCACTTGACATGTTGCTTCTAGCCTATTACTATTTTAGGCCCTATAAAAATAATGCCTAGGTAAAGCTGTAGGCCTACTGATGCCAATAATAATTCTTTATTTATGATGATGTAACAAATAATGTAAGTGTGAGGTTATTATACTAAGGAGGTTAGGAGGCAGGGAATGAATGATACATACTGCATGGTGGAAACATATTATTTTTATTTTCTTCTTGCTTGCAGTCCTGAAGCCGGTCCACAGGCCCTAAACTTGTGATATGTAAATTTATTTCTTAATGGTCTTTTTATATTAAGTTCCATTCAAATTTGTTGTAATTTAGCTACCGGCACCTATTTAGTTATTTAAACAGTTATTAAAATGAGAATGAATGTCTTGATAAAAAAAATATTTTCTTCTTTCTTGCAGTTGAGCCAATTCCAGTAAAAATTATGAAATAGGCAAGTAAAGCAGCTCACTGGTATTTCCAGCAGTTATTCTAATACATATGATTGAAAATAAATATTTTTTCACCTAAAATTCATATGTTAAGTATGAAATAGGCCTAATACCACATCAACAAAAATTTGTATTACACAAATGTGATACATTTTAATTATTGTTAATCCACTCAATTGACAATTATGAATAGAAAAATACCGTATTGCTTCGAATCGAGTTGCATCGAATCGAATCGAAAATCTTTTGAATCGAATCGTTGCTTCGAATCGAAAATTTTTTGCTGCTTCGCACACCCCTAATGATTACTGTAATATTGCCTGACACAAGTATTCAATTTGTATATATTACTGATCAAATAATCTGAAAATTAAAAACTAATCCTTAAACCTGCAATTTATCAATAACTTTACTTTTTTTGTGGCAAAAGAGCCATTCAAAATCTGTCAACTCCAACGCACCTGTAAAACCTTCTTACACTCGGCAATAAGCACATCCTCAGCTTCTTTGTTGAAAACATCTGAGTCAAGTTTTTTGACATAGTGAACTAAAAATTTCAAGCATCTCTCTCTGACTGCTTCTTCCCCTGTTAGAATTTGTTGAAAGAATCCTTCAAGGGCACCTGAAAAACAGAACCACGATAAATACTTTATACAAAGAAGAATAAGAAACCAACTCTTTAAATAGACGAATGATACTAAATGCTAGCCTACCTGCTTGCTTTCATTAAAAAAATTATATAACTAGCCTACAGTAGATAATGATGATACAGTAGATAAAACAACATAACCAAGATAATGAAAATTGTATGATCAAAATCAGTGCAAACCTAAACTAAAATGCATGGGAAATACCTGACGTTCACTTTGAATGTATAGTTTAGCTTTAAAACAGGTTATAGCAGTAATAAAATACTTAGAATGCAGTGTAACGCCTTTTGACAAATTTCCACACGCCTTACAAAACAGGTATTATCGGAGAGCCTATGTAAGGCCTAGGAATAACAAACCTCGAAACACACACAAACTTAAAAACACATTGCTCATTGGTTTAAATTGGCAACTCATCAGTGAATAGGGGCAACTCTATAGTCTGTCCACAAGATGATGGGCCTCCTGATGTTAAAGATGTTTGCCGTCGATGTGTATAAAGTACATTTAACTTGCGCCACAATATATTTATTTATTGATTTTTTCGCAATTATGACTAATTTGCATAGTGGTTAATCTACTCGAGGATAATAGGCAGTTAACTGTACGTTTGTTACAGCCTATTGTACCGATAGTAATCAAATATTTGCTCCAAGTTCTAACGCACCTTTTTCCCACCAACAAACACTGATGTCGAACAGTTGTTTTATTACAAACAAAGGCACCTGTGTCCTAGGCACACAGGTGTTACAAAGTTGCTATTTCTTTCAAACAGAGGTGGGTTTGAAACGTTGCCAAACCAGCAAGATCGGGTCATAAGAACTGGGTGCAATAGGGTTTTAGAAGTTTTTTTTTATTTATATGTTAAAAACATGGAAATACCCAAGTTACATTACACTCATCATAAGAAGAGCTTAGAAAACAAAAGATTTTATATACCAAAGCATTTTTGTAAAATTAGAGGGTTTGGTGAAAATTCCAAAAATATTCATTTAAAATTCACACACAAGTTAAATTCCTATGAAGAAAATAAGACATGGATTTATTTTAATCAATTCATTTCATCCTATACCGTACTACTAACATTTTATAAAAAAAATCCCATCCCACGTAGCAGCAAAACCGTTAAATCATGCTTGGTCTGCAGGTTTACTGCAGCAGAGCTTTTTACGGTCGCTGGTGAGGTGATTGTTTTCCTATCTCAAAGTGTAAACTGTGTTTTTTTGCTTTAAGATTTATTTTTAAAATCTTTTTTGGTTGGTTTTTTTTTGCCAAGTATGTATCAGTCAATTTGCAATGTTATTGTTAAATAATTATTTCTATTCGTTTTAGGTTTCGAGATTCGACTGTATTCACAAATAAATATTGTATTGAGCCCAGATTTTAAATACTTGGACTTACCTTTGACGTCAAATCTAAAGAGAGTGATGAGGGCTTGTTGGACAGCGTCTAGCTCTGTGGCCTCCTCGGCCATCAGCAGTTGCGCCAGGATGTCAGCGATTTTCTTTGTGTGTTGTTTATTGTCCTTACAGAGGTTTGGTAAGTCCTTGATGGCTTGCTTGCGAATCTACAATTTCAAAATCTATTCTTTACCATATCACATTACTCTCTAGGGCTTCTAGGCCTACAGTTTAATAGCCTACATAGGCTATATATTTTTGACATAAGTTTGACATATGTTATACTTTTAACTTAGAGGTAGACAAGAATTAGGCCTATTTAAATTTTGTTGTTGTAGCCCCAGAATTGTAATATATAAAATAATTGGTTTTACATTACCTTTATCAGTTCCAAAAGTAACCTTCGTCAATGTGTATCTCAACACCCTACCCTACAACACATTGACGAAGGTTACTTTTGGAACTGAAAAAGGTTTAATGTAAAACCAAATATTTTAAGAATTATTTATTATTGAGTAGCCTATAATAACATAGCCTATTGTTGACTATACCGGTCCTCAGTAAGTTAATTAGATTGTTAATACCTTACCTACGACTCTCAAGAAATTAATGTATAGTACTAAAACTAATTGAATTTACAAATAGGCTAACTTATTTGAACTTACTGATAGTTCTTCATCTTCACATAAATCTATCTGAGCTTCGACTGCTTGGTCAGCTAAGTGTGGGAAATGCTTGAAGAATCTTGCAATGAACTGTGATGCGAGTCGTTTTTCTTTATCCGATCCTTTGACAGCACCAAGTATCTCCAGATACTCCTTTTCATGCTGAAACAACACCAATAGAAATGCAACTTAGTTCAAGTAACAGGATAAGGTTGAATAGAAAACAGTTTAGAGTTTGGGCCTAATAACTTTAACTACGGTAATTTAAACTTACGCTAGCAGCCTAGCCCAACCAAATTCCCAGACAAGCTTCTATGAGTTTGGGCCCTAACTTATCGCTTTGGTAGAAAACATAACCTACCGATACTTCTAAACAAAGCTTAAAAATGAAAAATAAATCTTGTTTGTTTTGCAATATTACTACAAGTTAAGCTAGCCTATAGGACCTATTCCCTAACAAAATGGCAACAACCAACAGTTTCTTAACCCTAGCATTGGCCAATGTTAGAAAAGTGTGGAATGGCCAGCCCGATTTTGGTGATTTTGCAGACCTTTTTTTGAAAATTCGTAAAAATTCAATCGTAGAAGTAAACTTAGCCAACATCATACAGTATTCGTTTTGTTTGGAAAGAACAGGAGATTCTGGAAATAACTTAGTAATATACCGTAATAATGTTTTTTTTCTTCGGTAAAGTGAAAAGAATAAAAAAATGTAGAATTTTCTTTTTCAAATTTCAAAAGCAGTCTGGGTAAAATTTTGTATACAGATTTTTTATGGGAAATTCACTATATAACGGTACCTACAATTTAGGCCTAGTAGACATTTGAATTCCCTACATAGAGATATAACATAACATATAAGGAAAAGATTTTTACTTTGTAAGTTATTTTGGCGTAATAAGTTATAGGCCTAATAACAAACGGAGAACCGGAAAAATTGAAAACCGTACAATGTTAGTTTGTGTTGTAAAGAAGTTAGGGCCTAGCCTATAATATACCGTATTGTATATACAAATAATAATATTTACATATTTGTAAAGCTAATAAAGTAAAGAATCAAAAAAGTCATGTTTCTGGTAAAAATATTTTTTTATTTATAAATAAAATAATGTTTTTATATTTTAGCGATTTTGTGAAAAAAAGATTCATGGTATTTCTAGTATAGGCATACAACTTTTGTACCAAATGTATTAAATTCAAACTAACATAAAATAGACCTAATCATCTTGTAGTGTATTCAATTACCTACATAAAAATGTATAACACGTTGGGTAATATTTTTGTTTTTACGTGTTAATATAATAAACGGAAAACCACAAAATACAACCTTTTTTAAACACGATTTCACACTATTCAGTAAATATTCACACATTATAAAATGCATGAAGATTAGGCCTACTGTTATACACACTTACACATTTCTCTAACAATATGAAATAATAACAAATTTAGTAGGCCTACCTAGGCTAATAAATCGTGGATAACATGAGAGCGAAAACTCACTGGCAACAACACGCAATGGGGAACACAAGGCACTTAGTGTATGATACCTTACGACAGTAGTGACACACTTTTGTTGTCTCCCTGAGAAAAAACGGAAATAACCTTTAGCGCAGGGCTGCCACTATCACAAGCTAGGTACCTACATGTCTTTCTCTTCAAAATGACATTGGCCTATGATATGGCTAGTAATAATGACTTAACTTACACTGTATGTAATTCGTTTTTTTCGTACTAGCGTATTGCGATGGTTGGCTATTTGTTTATAAATTTTGAAATCAGCTGTTTTCATAAAATCGTACCTGTTGTGCAATCAATACCATATTTCGTTCAAAATATCAATACCACAATGAAGATAAAATCAATGGCTATCCAGTGTTACCACCCGCAACAACACAAGACGAAAATTACCCGAGCAGGGTAATGCCAAACAAGTTGTGTTTTGACAGTTCCCAAGTGTCAGCTGCAAAAGTCGTGCCGCGCCAAAAATTCATTTGATTTCTAATTGTCGTGAAATTGTTATATAGGCTAGCCTACCTGCTAAGTAGGCTACAGGGGTTGTTTATATACTAAAATTAAAGTTGAAAATGTGATCTTTCAAATGGTAGGCCTATTAAGTACATTGTTCACATCACAGTTGATTATAGAAGCGTTTTTTTTACGTAAAAAAAATGTCGGCCCATACCGCGGTACGATCGCATATTACGCTGGTGGCCATTCTAGGCGTCACGGCAAACGAGCATACGTTCGTTGGCCACCAAGCTAAGCCTAGGTTAGCTTTTTATAAAAAAAAGGCCAAGTTTATGTGTCACAATTTTCAAAAATCTTTAGCGACACAAACATGGGCACCCTAGCCTTTAAGTTAGGCCTACCTAGGCCTAGTGGTGGGTACAGTTTCTCAACTAGGCTATGCTAATATCGATTGAAACTAGGCCTATTGATTAGATTAGTAAACCTTCATGCGATTTTTTTCACCATCAGCAAGTTTGGTATCCTTATAGGCTGGTGAAAGAAAACAGAAACTCTAAGTTAATATGCTAAGTTAGGCCTAGGCAGCCTTGGTTACAAGGCTTAGCCTAGTTGCACAGTAGGCCTAGGCCTACTAGAATTGCAGTAGCATAGCCTAGCTTACTTAATAATACAGAATAGTGAGAGTGAATTCTGGATAGGCCTAGAGGAAGTGCTTGAGGTTGAGGAAATGATGTCTAATGAAATTTAAGTAAGTTACCTAAACCATGAACTTTCAGCAGAGGAAAAGTAACCTAAACATAAGCAAGCCGCTTACCTCACTTATCTTATCCTTAGCATCCGCTAATATTCCAAAGTTTTTGTAGAGTTTTTCTATGTTATCAGAATCGACGTCGGTGGAACTCATAATAAGCAATATATTAATAAACTGAGCAATTAGCAAACTATATTGTTGCGTGTACTCCCAACTCCCAAGATATAACCGGAATTAGTGATGTGACGAGTTGAGTTGGCGAGTCGAGTTGACTCGAGTCAAGACCCGAGTCGAGTCAACTCGAGTCAACTCAATTCCAACTCGAGTTCTTTTACGAACTCGTACGGAGATTAACGAAGCTACACGAACTCGTAACGTTACGAGTCCGACTCGCAAAAGCCGAGTCAAGAAACCGAACTCATACGGAGAAAGCCGAACCTTAACGAACTCGGGACGTAACGAGTTGACTCGAGTTTACTCGCACTCGCTTTCGGCCAATAGCGTCACAGCTTTACGAGTCAACTCGCATAGATTCAACGCTATTGGCCGGTACCGAGTCGGCCGACTCGCAAAACTAACGAACTCGTACGGAGAATGCCGAACTCACACGAACTCGGAACGTCTCGAGTCGAGTCGAGTCGACTCGTAAAGCTGACACGCTATTGGCCGGTACCGAGTCGGCCGACTCACAAAACTAACGAACTCGTACGGAGAATGCCGAACTCACACGAACTCGGAACGTCTCGAGTTGAGTCTGACTCGACTCGTAACTCGAGTTCACGGCAGTTGGCGAGTTGAGTCACTCGAGTCAGGAAAGTACCCGACTCGTCACATCACTAACCGGAATGTCCACCAAAGCAAATTCTCCTTTTCAATTTTTTTTATTTACTTTTTCTTTTGTTTTAATTGTTCTTGTTGTTCTCTCTCCAATATTCAGTACAAAAGCGATCAGTGAACCAAAATATTGAAAATATTATGCTCTTTTTAGATCATTGGTTATGACTGATTAAGAGATTATAACATTAATAATGACTATCCTTCACCAACGAGCACAGTAATATTGTATTTGAATATTATTTAGTAGATCTATGTATTAAGCCTATGTCCAACGACGCGTTGCGCGGTGCTCCACGCGACGGTGAAAATGCGCGGGGTGGAGCGTCAGTGCGCGTATAGGTCCGCGCAAGACCTGTCCCACGGCTCGCGTCGCGCCGCGACACACGCCGTCTAGAGGCCGTAGTGGATAGTGTTAAAACCTCATAGAGACCTCCGTGCTACACTGTATTTTTAAAGATCTGTGTGATTGATTGATGAGTGATTCGGAAAGTGACGGTGAATTAGCGTGCGCCGCAGCTTGTTATCTATTGTTGAGTGGCGAATATTTGAAGTTAAAATTGAATTCAACGAAAAAAGAGAGGCGTTGGTGGATGGATGCATACAACAAGAGTTTCGCGCCAACATTTGCTGAATAACTGCAAGTTCAACGTGACACCTGTTCACCAGGTGGAAAAACGTCTCGTACTGGCCCAGGGCATCCATGCTCCAACCCATGTCTTTGATGTTTACCGACAACTCACGGGAACGGACGCGCAACCCCGCTCCGCGCCACTCTTGCGCGTAGCACCACGCGCTTACCCTGTCCCACCACGCGAGGCGTGGCACTCCTCGCGCCGTGCGCGCCGCGCAACGCTCCGTGGGACATAAGCTTTTGTGTGATAAATCATAATTCCGTCAAAGGTCATGCCATGTCAGGCCGCGGCCTTTGAAGTGGCAACGTCGCTCGCAAGTGGTGTTGTAACAGCTGTTTTGTTTGGAAGCGGAAGCAGCTAATGGTATTTGTGTATTCACGAAAGATTGGTTACAAGTGTACAGTGTACTGGACGATGACAATATTGACTCCGCTTATAAATGTACATATATAGATTTTTAATACATGTTTTATTTTTAATAAATTTATGCTCATAAATTTAAATCAATAAAGTGCGAATTAATGAGCTTACATGTCTACCATGTTATGGGACAATCTGCCCCATCATGGTGGAAGGATTCCACCACTACCATATGTATTCTTATTGTTAGTTCATAGTTGTCTTGCGGTGGGGCACACGGGAGGGACTAAGGCTAACATATCTTGTAGTGTCAGCGTTCGCCGCTAGAACCGCTAAGTTGACAAAATTTAATTTTATTTTTATTTTTAGTAATAAAATTAACTTTTTTATTATAAAATATTGTTTTAAAACTATAAAATAAATTTTTAATTTTTAAAATAAAACTGTCATAACATAACCTAACCAACTAGACTTGCAGGGGCCCATTTCATAATAAAGTACAAACTAATATTATTAGTAAATCAGCTGATCGCCCAATGCAGATCTAATGGAAATTACAAGTTACAAGTTGTAACTTGTAACTTGTAGTTTATTATGAAATGGGCCCCTGATAATATAAAAACTGTATAAGATAAAAATCTAATTAATGATTACTTATAATTTTTAATTAATTATAAAATTAATTTTAAAATTTAGTATTATAAAACCCGGGACCGGGGGGGATTTAGTTTTATTCGAACCCAGGACCTCTTGAACACCAAATCGAAACGCTACTAACTATGCCACGAACGCCGCTGAAAACACATCGTTTCGTTCGTTACCTTAATCGTGTTGCCTCAAGAGTAGACATTAGCCACTAGAGATATGACGTCACTACACCTAGTCCCTCCCGTGTGCCCGTTCCGTTGTCCGGTCTGTTGCTGTTCTGCCTGATCCACGATCGTTCTGGTCTGCTGCTGAGTGAGTGCTGATTGCTGACCAGTGTTCTCAGACGTACGATAATTATCGTTTTGTACGATAATTTAGCCTCCCGTACGATGTACGATACGTCACCGTACGATAATGCTATTTGTACGATAATTTGGGCAATTGAATAGTACTCTTTTACAAAATTGGTTTGGGAGGTTATACCCAAAAATTTGGAAACATTTTTGCTGTTTTAAATCAAAACTCAGTATTTATTAGAGATGGGATATAAAAATCAATACATAAAAAATCAATCTTATGAAAACTATAAGTTAACTGTTAGTATGAATAAAATTAAAACGAAACCATTTCCATGAAATGTGCTTCTAAACTGCTTGAATGCTTCTGCTTCGCTTCTTCTGCTTCTCCTACACCACGAGAAAGTCTGTTACCATAAGAACAGACCATCCGTACATAATCTCGCCCATTTGGCGAATTATTGGTGTAGTAGTGCACGCCATCGATCTCTATTTTAGAGATCGATGGTGCACGGGTGCACGCACGGCCGCCTTTAACTCCAGGCCTCGGCCTTCAAAGTGGCAACATCACAAGAGGTGTTGTAACAGCTGTTTTGTTTGGAAGTGAAGCAGCTAATGGTATTTGTGTATTAACGAAATATTGGTTACTGGACTATGACAATATTGACTCCGCTTAAAATGTACATAATAGATTTTTAATTCATATTGTTTCGGTTTTCAATTCTGTATGTCTTTTTTTCAATATTTTAATAAATTTATGTTTATAAATTTAAATTGAAATCAATAAAGTGTGAATTAATGAGCTGATATCACCTGTCTGCCATGTTATCTTATGGGACGTCTGTCACTGAACAACATACCACTTGTGGAGATGCCAATTCTACCAGGCCGCGGCCTGTAGTTAAAGGTGGCCGTGAGTGCATGGTGGAAGGAAAATACTGGTGTAGTGTTTGTGTTGAGGTTGAGAAATATTCACATAATATCAGTTACCTACTATGATTACAACGTGCAAAACTAAAAATAATATGGTTTTATGGCGATTTTGAGATTTATAATAAAAAAATATATAAGTCTATTAGGTATTTCAATACTCAAGCCAGTTACGATTGTTATTTAAAATTGTACGATAATTTTTCGTGAAATACGATAATTTAGGACCGCGTGTACGATATTTGACTACGGCCAATCTGGGAACACTGTTGCTGACCCACACATCCACATTAATTTTATTAATTATTACTGAATTTTGCTGTCTGCAACGGCTCCATTCAGTTTTCTTTTCTCACTAAAACTTTATTTGAATTCGAACAAGAACAACTCGAAAACACTGAAATAAATGTCTTTTAAGAAAGTGTAAAGCCAATATGAGTTTTCGCCAAACCTTATGCTGTTTTGTCCAATTGTCCAGGTAAAATTACCATTATACTGACCTAACCTTATTTTGAGTAAACTAGGCTAGTGAGAGAGGGTAGAGACATTAAGTTACCAATATCAGTGCAGTTCAAGGTAAACTTTACCAAATTTGTTTAAGAATAACTAATACAAAATAGGTTTCCATAAATATCGGTAATTTCTTTAATCTAACTCGTAGGCTAATCACTTCAGTATTATTTTAGTTTACTAAAATTGACTTTGGCTAGGCCTAGTTTGGGCTTCGCCCATCTTTTCACAGGATAAAAGAAAAGTTACTGGTACAGTATACTGTAGTCATGGTTAAACTTACACACAATCTTAGTTTATTTGTTTTAACATAGGACTGATTAATTAGATAACCAACTTATTTTAAGTTTAGGCTATTCATTTAGGCCTACTTAAAACAGCTTAGCCCTTTTAACTTGGTCCCTGCTGAGGACTGCGATGGGAGTATGGTAGCCATATCCCCAGAGATTACCTGATTTCAACGTTAAAAATTTAGCTCTAGCGGATTTCTGCAACAAGTGAGAAATCTCTCTTTTACTCTACCTACTAAAATACATCATATAACAGCACTTTTGGAATAAAACAACTCACATAAATGGCTGCACTTTATTTTACGTCCTACACTTATTCGAATGGAAATATCTATCATTCAATTGTTTCATTCAATTTATCGTTTGGTTAGGTAGTTAGGTTAGGTTAACCTTACCTATCTAACTAAACGATATCGCTTATCGATCAATGTTTTCATTCGAATGAGTGTAAGACGTAAAGTAAAGTGCAACCCATAAATTAGCAAATATTGTTATGCAATAACTGAATAATTCAACTCTCGTACTCACTGGATCTATCCATATCAAGTGATCCAACAGGGGTTGCTTGACCATTTTTAAAATAAATAATATTTTTATCCTAGATACCTTTATCAATTCTGGGTTCAAAAGTGATTTTAAAATTTTTTTATCTATTTTGTTACTCCTACGGCGGCCATTTTTGTTTTGCGGAACACGCAAATTTTTGCTCATGTAAGGGTTTGCGTTAACTTGCACAACTCGGTAACCA